CTTGTGTTAGGTGGTATCTCATCATAATTTTGATCTGCATTCCTCTGGTGATTAGTGAGGCTGAGCAATTTTTCATGTGTCTGTTGGCTGCTTGTATGTTATCTTCTGAGAAGTATCTGTTCATGTCCTTTGCCCACTTTTTAAGGGAGTTGTTTATTTTCCTTTCTTTTTGAGTTCCTTATAGAACCTTATAGATGTTATGACTTTGTCATATGTGCAATTTGCAAATTTTTTTCCCATTCTGTGGGTTGTCTCTAAGTTCTTGATGGTTTCTTTTGGTGTGCAATAGCTTTTTAATTTGATGAAGTCCCATTTGTCTATCATAGCTTTTATGGAATTCGCTTTTGGAGACTTAGTCAAGAATTTTTTGCCTACTCTGATGTATATAAGGGTGTTCCCTATGTTTTCTTCTAGGATACTTATGGTTTGAGGTTTTACGTTTAGGTCTTTGATTCATTTTGAATTAACTTTTTTTTTTTTTTTTGAGTTGGAGTCTCACTCCATCGCCCAGACTGGAGTGCAGTGGCCGCTCCTGGCCACCGCAGCCTTGACCCGCTGGGCTCCGGCGATCCTTCCACCTCAGCCTTCCAAGTAGCTAGAACTACAGGCGCGCGCTACCATACCCGGCTAATTTTTTGATTTATTGCAGAGATGGTCTCGCCAAGTTGCCCGTTGAATTAACTTTTTATATGGTGATAGGTAGGGGTCCAGTTTCATTCTTCTGCTTGTAGTTAGACAGTTTTCACAGCACCATTTGCTAAATATAATCTCCTTTCTCAAGTAGTTGTTATTGGTGGTTTTGTCAAAGATGAGTTGGTTGAGATACCATGTTTTTGCTTCCAGAATCTCTGTCCTGTTCCATTGGTCTGTGTGCCTATTCCTGTACCAATATGTCTGGAAGTGTGATGCCTCCCACTTTGTTCCTTTTGCTGAGGATTGTTTTGGCTATTCATGCTCTTTTTGGTTTCCATATGAATTTCTGTATTGTAGTTTCCAAGTTTGTTTGTGTCATCCTTGATTTCTTTGAGCAACGTTTTGAAGTTCTCATTGTAAAGGTCTTCCACTTCTCTGGTTAGATGAACGCCAAAGTCTTTCTTTTTGGGTGTGTGGCTATTGTGAATGGGATTGTGCTTTTTATGTGGTTTTCTGCCTACTTGTTGCTGTTGTGTAGAAATGCAACTGTCTTTTGCACATTGGTTTTGTACTTCGAGACTTTATCAAAGTCATTTATCAGAGCAGGAGGCTTTTGACAGGTATAGAATCATATAATCTGCAGAGAGGGATAGCGTCACTTCCTCTTTTCCTATTTGGATACCCATACTTTCCTTCTCTTATCTGATTGCTCTAGCTAGGACTTTTAGCACTATGTTGAACAGGAGGGGTGAGAGTGGGCATTCTTTCTCCAGTTTCCGTTTTCAAGGGAAATGCTTCCAACTTCTGCCCATTGAGCAAAATGCTGGCTATGGAGTTATCATAGATGACTCTCACTGTTTTGAGGAACGTTCCTTCTATGCGTAAGTGCTCAAGGATTTTTATCAAGAAGGGGTGCTGCATTTTTCAAATGCTTTTTCTGCATCTAATGATATAATAATTTGGCTCTTGGTTTTACATATGTTAATATACTGAATTACATTAATGGTCTTGTGAATGTTGAACCAGCCCTGCATCTCAGGAATGAAGTCCACCTGGTCATGGTGGATGATCCTTAAGATGTGCTGTTGGATTCAATTTGTTAGAATTTTGTTTAAAATATTTGTGTCTATGTTCATCAAGGAGATTGGCCTGTAATTCTCTTTCCTTATTGGGTCTTTGCCAGGTTTGGGTATCACAGTATGATGTTAGCTTCATAAAATGAGTTGGGGAGAATGTCATCATTCTCAATTGCCTAGAATATTTTCAATAAGGTTGGTATCCGCTCCTTCTTCTTTTTTTTTAAGCAGGATTTATTGAGAGGACAGAAAAGCTCCCACAGTGGGAGGTTGAGAGGGTTGCCCTCAGCTCCTTCTTTTATGTCTTGTAGAATTAAACTGGGAAGCCATCTGGCCCGGGGCTTTTACTGGTGTGGAAGAGTCTTATGACTGAGTCAATTTCCTGGATTGCTATCAGTCTGTTTAGAGTTTCCAGTTCTTCTTGTTTTAACCTTGGAAAGTCATGGGATGTCAGAAAGTCCTCCATTTCTTTTAGGTTTTCTAGTATATTTTCATACAGGTGTTTATAGTAATCGCTGATAATCTTTTGAAAACCTTCAGGGTCAGTTGCAACTTCACCTTTTGTGTTTCTATTTGTGTTTATTTGTACTTTCTCCTCTTTTTTTTAGTCAGTCTGGCTAGGGGCTCATCAACCTATTTGTCCTTTCAGAGAACCAGCTTTTTATCTTGTTGATTCTTTCTCTGATATTTTTGTCAGCTATATCCTGAGATTGTGATTTTATCTTGGTGAACTGAATTCTTCTGCTGAAGTTAGGATTTAGATGATCTTGCCTTTCCAGCTCCCTTAGGTGTGATGTTAGGCAGATTACTTGTGAACTTTCTGCTTTCTTGATGTGTGCATGCAATGCTATGAATTTTCCTCTTAACACTGATTTCATGTCATCTTAGAGATTCTGATGTGTGTTTGTTGTCATTTGTTTTCAGGAATTTTTGTATTTCTTTCTTGATTTCTGTGTTTACCCAGAAGTCGTTCAGCAGTATGTTGTTTTGTCTTTGTCTAGTTTGATTTGGGAATCTTGTTGGTGGTGATGTTTATTTTTATTCTACTGTAATATAAGATGCAAGGGATTATTTTGATCTTTTGAAATTTGTTCATGCTTGATTTATGTCCAAGAATGTGATCGATCTTGGAGTATGTTCCATGTGTTGATGAACAGAATGTATACTCTGTTGATGTTGGGTGCAGTGTTCTGTAGATGACTATTAAATCCATCTGATCAAGTGTCAAGTTGAGGTTCTGAATGTCCATGTTGGTTTTTGCCTCGATGATCTACCTAAACCTGTTAGTGGGGCATTTAGGTCTCAAACTTTGATTGTGTGAGGGTCAATGTCCTCTCCTAGTTTACTTAGTAGTTATTTTATAAAATATGGTACTCCTGTGTTAGGTGCATATATGTTTAAAATGGATATTTCTTGTTGCTGTCATTAGCTATTTATCATTATGTAGTATCCTTTTTAATTGATGGTTTGAAGACTGCTTTGTCTGATATCAGAATAGCTACCATTGTCCATTGTTCTCTTCTGTTTTCCATTTACCTGAAAAATCATTTTACAAGCTCCAACTTTGAGCCCAAGAGGGTGTCCTGGAGGCAGCAAGTTGTTGGATCATATTTCTTTAACCAGTTTTCCACTATATGTCTCTTCAGTGGCTCATTTAGACCATTCACATTCAAATTGATTATTGAAATGGGAGAGTTTATCCTTTTCATAGGGCTCTTATGAGGTTGCCTGTCACCATGCCCTGCTCAGGACTCCTCCTTCATGGCAATGAAATTCACGTGTAGTAAGGAGGGGGTGAACCAACTCAAAACATCTTAGGCCCACTCACCCACTTTTTTTCACCAGGCAGGACTTCAGTTCTTGTACAAGCCTGGTACACAGCAGGGGATAGGGTGCCCAGATTCCCACATCTACTGTCACCTTCTTGTCTCTATGTGTTCAAAGAGACATTTGCTGTGTGCAGGGGTGTTTCACCCATTCAAAAGTGTTTGAGGTGTTTCCCTCTATCAATGGTTGAGTCCTTATTATCTGCTGTGCTTGGGATGAGAGGCCCGATCTGCTGCTCCACAATGGCCATTTTTCCATATTATTTCAGCACAAGTTATTGAGGAAGTTGTTCTTTCCCCATTGTGTGTTCTTGGACCCTTTGTCAAAAATCAATTGACAGAAAATGCATGGGCATACATTTTCTTTGATGAAGTATCTGTTCAAATATTTTGTGTATTTTAAAATTAGATTATTTATTTTGTTTTTATTGATTTGCAATAATTATTTGCAGATTTTTAAACAATATATTTCAAATAACAGAGATTTTTAATGTTAACGAAGCTCAATTTACTTATTTTGTCTTCTATGGATCGTGCTTTTGGAGTGGCATCTAATAAATAATCCACCTACTTTGGGATTGGTTGAATATTTTTTATATTTCTAAATTATCTCTTTTTAGGGCTTGCTAGCTATAATTCTTTGATTTTTAGTAGCTTATTTAGTACTTATACTATAAATGTTTAACTTATAGCCTATATTTGAGTAATATTACACCACTTCACTGATAAGAACCTTATAATATCCTTTAATTTCTCCCACACTTCACTCAAGTCTTTATTATTATTATCATACATCTTATTTCAATATATTTTAGAGCTAAGAGAAAAAACTAGAGATAATTACCAAGACCATGAAAGTCGTAAACTCTCTCTTCTTATCCTCTTTGCAAGACCTCAGACTTTCATCACTAGAATGAGCCAAAACTCTGTTTTTTTCAAATTCCCACAGATGAGAGGGTCTGAAAATGATTAGTGTTATGTTTCAAATGTTCCCTTCAAGAATCATGTAGAAATAAAATTGTTATTGTAATAGTGTTAAGGGGTGGAACCTTTAAGAGGTGATTAAAGGCAGAGCCTTAATGTCTAGATTAATGCTGTTATCTCAAGAGTGGGTTGGTTATCAAGAAAGTGAACTCCTGATAAAATAATACATTTGACCCCCATCTTTCTGTCTTACATGTGCTCACTTGCCTTTACCGTGTGTCATGATGCTGCAGGAAGGCCCTCACCAGATGCAGCCCTTTAATCTTGGACTTCTCAGCCTCTAGAACTATGAGCTGAATACACTTCTGTTGTTTATAATTTACCCAGTCTGTAGTATTCTGTTATAACAGCAGAAAATGAATTAAGAGAGTTTCTTTTTAGGATTTAAGATGAACAAAGGTATTACATACAAAATATAATGATAGGTGTTACTTATATTTGTATAGAAGAATATTATTACTCACAAGTCATCTTTCCACAGGTTTAAAAAATTAGTCTACACATACCGAATCTTCAGAGAGAAACATGGGTATTATGAGATACAGGTAAGAACATATGAGGACTCCTGCAAAAACAAAAAGTTGGGGGAGGAGAACCTGAGATCATCTCTTAAACCTGAGATGTGACCATGTGAAAGCATTCTAAAAAGGACTGTGAAAAGTTAAGAGTCAGATCAATAGTTAACCTGGTCTTTCTCTGAGAGAAATAGGAAGGCACTAGGGTTGGGTTCCTCTTTTGAATAAAATCCTGGCCATTATTCAATTCTGGGAGGTATTCAACTCCAATGGTCAAATGCACCAACCTGGACACCAAGCAAAACCACTGTTGAATCTAAATACTAAACAATAATGTAGGGTGGAAGTGGAAAGGGAAGGTGGGGAGAGGTCAAGTGTTTAGCAAGTCGAGTATACCCCATAGTTGTATGAAAATAAAAAATTTCAGACAGCTGGAAGTCAGGAATTTGTTTAATTTCTCTGGTTTACTGGGAGCTAAGCAGAAAAACCTTTTGCTCCTTTTGAATTTAGTTCTCTGGCTTAGAAAGTAGCATATAATAAGCATTACTGAATTTTAATTACTAACAGAGAACCCTGAAATAATCTTTCTGAAACACTTGCATACAAGGTTAAGCAGGCTACAAGCTTTCTCATAATCTTCAATATGCTAACGTTTACTATGAATATCTGAAAGGGACTAGAATATACAATGATCTCCAAAACCCATATATCTCACTTTTGTTTTGCTTAGAAGACATTATTGAGGCTGTTGATGAAATTTGAATACCATAAATGTAAACTCTGAATGAGATTAGCAAATAGTACTACATCAAGATTAATCTGATTTAACCATTGTAGTACAGTTTGTAATGACCTTACATTTTAGGAAATACTGAAGTATTTAGAGTTGAAGGGCTATCATGTCTGCTACTTAACTCTAAAAACAGTTTTAAAAAAGAGTATCTATACATATATGTACATGTGAGAAACAGTTCCTTCTTAAATAGAAAGTAGATGTTATACATATATTATTAGAAGGAGATAATAAAAACCACATATAATAAAATGTTAACATTTGGGGTGCAGGTGAAGGATTTATATGGATTTTTTTCTTTTTACTATTTTTGCAACTTTGCTGTGTCTGAAATAATTTCAAGATAGAATGTCTTCTAAAAAGCAATTTATTTTAAAACACCTTTTTTCTTTACTGTGTATATTATACTTTGGGAAATTCTGGAGAATTCCTCAGTACCTTGCTTTGTCTCTTATCTGGACAAAACAGAGGCATCCAAATTAGTTATCACTTAGACACCAAGGGGCATTTCACTGAGGAAAAGACCTGCACTCAGAAGCCTGGCAAGGATGACGCTTTGGGTTGAGATGACTGCATTGAAGAGACCTCCCTGCAGATGACTTCAATGTCAGCCGGCATGGAGCATGGAGGTCAACCAGACCGCACATCAGAAAACCTTCTGATTTCCTCCCTGCTCTGCAGTCCCACATGGTGACCATATGAGAATCACAGTGACGATCAAGGAAACCAAATACATAAGAGCGGTGGGAGAAACATCTTTTTGTTTTAAAATGATTTCTATAAGGTTAGATTAGGAAATCATACTTGGTTTATAGCTGGTAAACAGAAAACAACTATGTGCAATTTAACTGAGTCATGCTGATATTTCTACTTTCAAATTAAATTGGAACTGTTTCTCACTGGGAGATTCTGAATTCATTAGGTATATAAATTGTATATTTTACATTTCCTGTCAGAAGTCCACTTCTGTTAGTCTTCTAAGATAGCAAAGCCTGCTAGCAGGGCACAGAGACTGACATGAGCTCTTACAGGGGGATCCGTCACAGTGTATCTATAAGAACTTCTCCACACAAGCTGGCCAAGGATGAGGTCACTGGATACTGCTGGCTGAGTTGGGGATTCCTTGATTACAAATCCTCTTTACTCAGAGTAGCTCAAGTCAGAGGTTAGTCTTAAAAACAAGAGTTTCTGTGAATTGCAAGTGGCATGAGCTCTTAAGCATGAGCTGCTGGCCACATTTGTTTGTCAGTTCACAGAGGCAGCCCTGAAAACCACTGTTTTAGAGAAGCATGGCATTTCACACACAACTGCACGATGATGAGTGATCTCCTTTCTTGTACTTTTGCAGACTGTGGAAGGTGCTCCAAAGCAGATCTTTCCGAATCTCAAGGAATTAATTTCCAAATTCAAAAAGCCAAATCAAGGGCTGGTGATTAACCTTTTAAACCCAATAAAGAGAACCAGCCCCTGCCTGCGATGGAGAAGTTCGAAATTAGACTTGGAAGCCATTTATGGTAAGACCGCTCACATGGGGGTGGGTAAAAGGAAACTTAATCCCATTTCCACCAATGGCCTACTTTGTAGAATCAATACACATAAATTCCCTTTTCTACAACAGCATCTCTAAAAGCTTTATCCTCCTAAAACCAATTTCCATTTTGCTGAGAAGTGGTGTCTTCTAGCCCCTGAAGATGGCCAAGACATGGAGCTTTCTGTGCTGGGATAGCCAGGATAGCAAGAGCCATTCTGGGCAAACAGCTGACTTCAAATTCACTCTCTGACCTTATGAAGACTACTCTGTTTTGGTAATAAATGAGCAAACAGGCAGATTTTCAAATGAGAAAATCACTTCAGCCCCTCTACCCCTTCCCTAAGACCTACCCTGTCACATTTTGCTCAATATTCACTATGCATTCCCTTATGAAGTGTTAGGTGTCAAATTATTTTGGATATATCCCTAAAGGTATTAAGCCAAGGTGGAAAATGAGACTTGGCCAGTACATGTGAATGCAGAGAATCCATGCTGAGGCCTCTCCAATTCTATCGCAAGCAGCTACTTTTGCTTATCTACACCCTTGAAACGTGCTCTCAAACAATAATTTAGCTGTCAGTTGCAATGTTGTTTGAACTGAACTCAGACTTCCAGAGACATTTAGGGTTTAGTCCCATTTTCCCATGTTGGAATGTGTGGTTATGAAAGGGACTGCAGTATCAGTGGGCTGGTGACACGACGAGAACAGATGTGCTCACTAGGGAGGAGGACAGAGGACAAAGCTCTGAGGGGGCCACAACTATTCCAACACCCTGTATACTCTGGGTGCAGCAAAGTCACCCTTTGGGCTGCCATTGCCAACTTCTCACTTCCCCAGTAAGGCTAAGCATGGAGTTTCAATGATTAAACTAAGCCCTCTCTCCATTACCATTGCTTCTGTGTCCCCACTCGCCCCCATGTGGAGGAGTGTGCACCCATGCAAGCACACACTTTCTGTAGACCCAGCTGCAGATGTCGTCCCATGGCTGCTTTTCCCCAAAACTCAGAGAATACAAAGGATGAAATGTGGCAGAGCTAGAAACCCAGGAACCTACCCGCGCTGCAGCCCCTAGACAAACCCAGATGAGTTACTGGCACTGGTTGGGTGGTGGTGGTATTTGTCTCAGTGATGATAAAATAACCTCAAATCCCAAGAGGAAAACCCTCAGAGATCTTTCCCAAGAACTGGAAATGAGTCTTACCATGCCAACTTTCCATGCAGGGCTAGTGCTGGCAGAGTGAGCTCCCTAATCCTCAGCTATCAAAGAAGAAGAAGGCCTCACCTTCTTCCTCCCCTCTCTCCCCTTTGCCTCCTCAGAACAGGCTTCATATGTTCTTACTCTGAAGGAGGCTCAGGGTTTTTTGCTGGTTACTGGAGACTCCTTGTGCTGAAAACGCTCAGGTTTGACTTACAAAGAATGGGATGCCCCATTTTGTCAGAAGAACTCCCTATGGTACCCCAACCTTTAGAGATGTGACTTTGATGTGGTATCAAGATCGCTCTGGGTCTGGAGAGAGGTCTTCTTTCCCTCGAGTGGGGTTGGTTTGTTGTGACTTCTGGGTGTGGAGCGTCACGGCTGATCTCCTGCTTTTTTCTGCCAGAGAACAGTGCTGATGACTATGTGGATGTCTTGCCTTGAAGATAAGGACAATGGACAAAGCACGCTGGAGAAGAGATGGGTGACGGCTCTCACCGTGACCCACTTCTGCAGGTGTGGGTCTAGAATACCAAGCTCTAGTGGACAATTCACTCTCCTGGTCTGGGTAACTGAAGATGTTGTGTCCACCAGAGTCGCGGGTCACTCCCTCATCCCTGCCTCCCAGGAACACCCGGAGCAGTTTCAAAGTGTCTCTTCATTCTCACTCTTCTTCCCTGGAATGTGACAGCCTGCGTCTTTTCTCCTTGACTTGTTAGTTACCACTATTGTACTATGGTTGACACCCTCCTTCCAACCATGCAGCCAGAGAGACAGCTTCCTAGAGGAGGGCACACTTGGCAGCAAGTTTGAAGTCCTGGGTTCCAGTCCTGTGGTGATGTGACTTAAAGAAACTTCTTCCCTTCTCTAGGTCTCAGCTTCTTTGTATATAAAATAAGCGGTCAGGCGGGGTGGAAGATACTGCCCCAGTCCTCTGTTGAGACCAGTCGTGTAAGGTGGAGTCAGGGAATCTGGGAATGATGGAGACGCATACGGGATAAGATGGGGGTCAGAGCCTCAGCCTCCCTGCCTGGACCTCTCTCGGTCATGGTGAGAGTCTTGACCCACTCCTGCACCTTTTTCCCTGCCTAGGCTACTTTTCTTCTAGTTCTTCTTTCTAACCTTAAACTTCCTGCCAAACATCGCCCCGGACACACTTTCTCCCTGATTTTACCTGATTCTGCTTATGCACCAACCGTTTTCAGCAGCATGAATGTGGTTCTGTGCGGTGATATGAAGACCTTCAAAATACCCTGTGATGGGTGACTTCTATTCCCAACTAGGTCCCAAGTATCGTCAAAGCAAGGCCAGGTCTTCCCTGTATCCTCCGGAGTGTGTAGAAATACGTCCTGCACGGAGCTGTGCCCAGTGCTTATGAATTATTGACTGGAAGCACATTTCTGAAGGGGGTTTATTGAATTGGTTTCGAAGGCCCCTTGAAGTTTTCTGCTAGTTCCAAATGTTCATTAGGACTTGGTCTGTTCGGAATGTACCAGACTCTGTGTCCTTTCTCTTGCCCATCTTTCAACTGTAGTGACTCCTTTCACCCCACTGGTTTCATCTTCCAAGTTATGAAAGAGAGGAGCTCTAGAATGATCAGTAACATGAACAGACATTGTGGATGGAGCCCCAAAGTGTGGAACCTCGGGAGCGTAGGGGTCACAGCAACCCATGGCTACTACGTAATGTAGGTAGGACAAGTGTCCTCTCTTATTTTTCAAAACCGACTCAACTGTTCATGGACTTTGATGCCTCCAGAGCCATTTTAGGATAAATCTGTTAAGTTGATCAGAACCTCTGGCTGGAATGTTGAATTACCTTGCAAAAAATTTGTAAATGAAAGAGAACTGATATTCCTGGGATGTTTTCCCTTGCATAAACATGCCACATCCGTTTTCTCAGGCCATCCTTTTTGTCTTTTAGTAGAGTCATAAATTTTCAAAACAGAAGTCTTGTATATTCTGTAAGATTAATTCCTAACTATTTTTAGTTGTTATAAATGATATCTTATGTATCTATATCTAATAGGCTATAGTGGTAGGACATTTTACTCTCTCATTAGGTATAATAGTGTATCTATTGATTCTATTGTGTTCTATGTAAATGGTTTTGCCAGTTGTAAATAATAGTATTTCATTCTCTTTTCTTTCAGTGCTTATGCTTACTTGTTTCTTATGTTTACTTCATTGGTTAAGGCCTCCAGTATGCATTAAATAGTCAGTAGTCATGATAGTGGGCAGTCTTATGCTGTTTCTAGTATCATAGGGAATGCTTAGGAATTTTCTCTATTTAAGAATAATGTTTGTTGTAGGTTTTTAGTAAATAGACTTTGAGAAGGCTATTTTAGAATTTTTATCAGAAATGTTTTGAAATTTATTGTGTTTTCTGCCTCTATTGAAATATTTACATTTCTTTTATCTTCACCCTATTATAGAGGTAAATTATATTCATAAAATTATTGGTATCATACCATCTTTGCACTGCTTAACTTGATCATATTCTAGTTTTCTTAAATAAAGTGTAGAGCTTAGTAAGGTAATATTTAAGATTTTTGCACTGAAACTCATAAACCAAATAAAGCTATAATTTACTGAATCATGGTTCTACAATTAATATAAAGTGAATACAAGTCTTTCTCCTTTTGATATTTTCTGCAACAACTTTGTAAGGTAAAGATCAGTTCCTTGAAATGTTTTAGTATAATACATTCTTGTAAAACTGAGTTTGAGGTTCTGGTGAGGCAGAACTGGAGGGACATTTTTTATCACTAATTAAATATCTTTAATACTTATTAGTTTATTCCGGTATTTTGCCAATTTGGGCATTTTTCATTTTTCTAAGAATTTATCAATTTTGTCTAGTTTTCACAATTATTGGCATATAGTTCACAATATTCTTTTATTGTTTTAATGCTTTCTTGTGACTGGTCATATTTCCTCCCTCCTTCTGTGTCATATGTGTATCTCTTTTTTATTAATCACATTTATCTATCCTACTAGTCCTTTCAAAGCTGACTTTTGGCTTTGTTGATTTTTTTTTTTTTTGCCATTGTCTTTAAACTGCTATTCTGTATATTATTGATTTCTAGTTTCTTTGGGGGGAACTTGCCTGACTTGTTTTCAATATTTATTGTTTTCTGAAAACATATTTAAAGCGATGAATTTAGCTCAAAGTACTACTTTAGTTGTATTCCACAAATATGAACACAGTGTTTACTGTTGTTCATATCAAAGTATTTTTTAATTCCTGTAAAAATGTCTTCTTCAAGTCTCTATTTAGTAACTTGTAATTATTTTCAAACATATATTTTTAGTCTATATTTTGAATTTCAAACTATATAATGTTAAGGTTTGATAACAGCTTCACTTCCACTTCTGAGGCTTTCTTTCTGACCTAGTATATGTGAACATTCTGTGACTGTTTCACTTGTTTGAATTGTTTTTTCTATTCATTTTAAAACTCATTCTTTCCATCTCCCTAGATGTAGTCAAGATTATAGATCATGTAAAACAAATATTTTTATAGATGCTTTTTACCTATTTGATATATCAGAGTCAAATAGTGATAAATCTTTCATTTCAACGCAATAATGACAGTATCTGGCTTTCTGATTCCAGTGTTTGTTGAGGTGTGACAATTAAGTTCACGAACTTGCCACTGTGCACTAATGTTGGCAGCACTGTACAAAAACCTGTATTGGAACATTCTCCCTACACACCTGATCTGGCCCCCACGACTTTTGTCTTTGCCCAAAGATAAAGGAAATAATGAAAGGAAGACATTTGATGCCATTCAGGACATCCAGGTTAATATGACGACAGCTCTGATGGCCAGTCCAGAAAGAGAGTTCCAAAATTGCTTGGAAAGGTGAACTAGGCCCTGGCATCAGTGCATAGCTTCCTAAGGGGAGTACTTCGAAGGTGACCACAGTGATATTCAGCAATGAGGTATGTAGCACTTTTTCTAGGATGAGTTCACAAACTTAGTTGTCAAACTCCATACTTACATTTAGTATAATTTGTTCTGTTGGATTCCCTCTGCCACCTTACTCCATTCTTCCCATTTATTATACATTGTTTCCCTTTCCCCCTTCTTTTCTGCTTTCCATTGAATAGCTCAGATTTGCCTCTGTTAATTTGAAAGCTATTTTAAAAAAATTTGGGGGGTGATTTCTCACAACTTATTAAGCCCTGTATTTTTGTTTATTTTCCTCTATAATATTGTAAATGTATCAATTGCTATCATTTAAGTATGCTCTCATTTCTCTTTTTTCACCATCAACAATCTCATCAGATTTGCTGACATTATATAAAATTTCAATTATTATTTACTCCTTTGAGTGCTTAATCATTTAAATATTACACTTTACTGAATCAATTATCCTTCTTACATATTTCAAAACACATAGCAATTTTTGTTTCTTTTTCCTTTTGCCAGTATATTTCCTCTAAAAGCATTTTGCATACTTGGAAATTGCTAAGAAAATAGATTTAAAGTTCTAATCTAAGATAATCTTTGAGTCGTAAACATTTGTCCTGCTTTGTATGCCTCATAATGTTTTTGTTTTAGGTTTAAATGTTAGTTGAACTAAATATAGAATTGTAGGTTTAAAGTTTTTCCTTCAACAACAAAACACTATCATTTTTGTGTGCAGGTTTCTTATTGAGATGTCTAACGTCAATCTGATTCTCTTTCATAGCTGGTTTATTTTGAAAATTTAAAGATGATCTGTCTTTATGATCTTAAATTTCACTGTAATGTGTCTAATTGTGAGTTTTGTCTTCCTGATCCTGTTTGAAACTCTGTATACCATTTTATTCTCAGAGTTTTAAACTTTCTTTACTTTTGGAGAATTTTCATTATTTTTCAAAGATTTCTTTTTTTTTTTTTTTTGAGTTGGAGTCTCACTCCGTTGCCCAGACTGGAGTGCAGTGCTTCTGTTTTCTCTTTCTTACTAAAATTCCTAATTAAGAAGAGTCATCTTTTAAATTTCCTTCTCCAAACACTATTTGTTGAATGATCTTAGGAAAAATACAAGCCTCTCTAAACTGGAGATTGTATTTATTTCATAAACGAACGTTAGTTTTGTCTTGAAAATCTTCCTTTCGCAGAAGTTACCAGAATTGCAATACCTCAAATCAGTCACAAGAGGTCAGACAGCTATCAGGAAAACCAGTAGTACTTTTTTTTTTTTAAAGCACTGCTGAGTAACCATGGTAGCTATTAGACCCGAAACATTCCTTTTCCAAGTATTCTTCAAACAGTGCTCACCTCGCAACTGAATTCCTAATCTCCAGTGTCGATGACAGGCTTAGCGTATAAGCCAGGCTTCCCTCAGTTTGCAATTTGGGATGCAGTAGAAATATTCCTGCCACTCCTACTTCAGGCTGAAATTCTTGCAATTCAGAGGGATACTTACCAAAACCCTTAAGAATATCTGGTGC